AATATAATAATATAATAATAATAAAAATGATGTGAGTAACTACCAAAATTTTAAAATATAATAATATAATAATATAATATAGTAATAATAAAATTCGATGTGAGTAACGGTTATATTCAAATTTATATTTGTAAAAATAATTTTATTTAGAAATGTAATAATAAGAAAAACTCCACCATGTGTTACTCTTCCAATATTATAAATGTCATACTTTGATATATTTTGATTTGTCCATCATTTTGATTTTGTTGCCACATCATCACGTCGGGTATGTTGTCTCGACTCTAATTTCTTCGTTTTAGCTCTGATTTGAGTAATTGAAAAGTTGTTGTAATCGTTATTCCCGACCTTATACTGTGGACAGTTCAAAAAAACTGAAAATAGTTAATAATTAAAAGTAGGTTTGTTATCATCAAAACATCAATAATTAATTCATTGAAATTAATTAATGTGAGATCAAGGGCCAATAAGCCAACAGTGAGAACCTTGATCATCATCCATGGGAGGTTAATTGGCGAACTCATCCCACAAGCCATGTAGTTGTCAAAGATTGTGGGCCAACCCCTCAATACGTTCCAACTCCACTGGTTACCCGCATGATCAACGCCCACCAACATGATGGATCCTCTATGCTAGTTTACCACTGACTACCCACATAATCAACGTCCAACTACAGGACTAATCTACCATGTAGGATAATCTAACAAATCATTGAGTCACACATCTCTAACCAACCTCACGCCTAACTCAACAATATCGTATCAGAGTGGAAAAGGAAGTGGAAGCTCTTCAGATATTGTACTAGTTGTTATCAACCTAGAATGCTACTTTTGTCTTTCTAGGGTTGTCGTGGTGGTTTTTTAGGCTCTAGAGGGGATTAGCGATCTGGACATGGATTCACGTCTCTAGGTTTCTCAGTTTTGACTCCTCAAGTTTAGATCAGTCAATAGCACTAGAGGCATTCCATCATCGAACAACTCAAACTCAACACTAACATTTGTTGTTCTTTTTGGGCTTTCTCTTCCAGATTTCCCCCTCAAAATTTTTAAAATGCGTCTCGTAGGGAGAGGTTTCCACATCCTTGAAAAGAATGTTTTGTTCTCTTCGTTAACGGATGTGGGATCTCTCATAGTGTTTGTTTCTATGTAAAAGAATGGGGAAGTGAGATTCATATTTCATAGCCATATAAGTGTTAATCACAAGATATAAAGGAATATTGGTCCCCAACTAATTGAATTAGATTCATAGCTATCCTATCTACAAGATATTCTATTAAGATTCAGTGTTGATATCTTTAAATCAAAGAATTAGATTCGACGCTATCAAATTCATATCACAAGTATAAATTTAGAGCTTTGACATGATCGAGAGCATACCACGATTAGAAATCCTTTCGAAACCATCTATCAAAAGTTACGATGAGTTCTGTTGCAGCTACGTCCCAAAACGATGGCCTCATCGCAAACTGAGAAAATATGATATGTGGTGGGTGGACTCACATTAACCGAGAAAATCTATCAATAATGGCACTAATAAATAAAACCTATCTATGTTTAACCTAATTTCGTCTTCTCTGTTGTTTAGAACAAGCCAACTTTCTACAGTACGAATAGATTCAAAAATTGTTTGGAGAAAATAAGACACTAGAAAACATAATGTTAGAGAACCATTCAACTTTTCACTGAACGTGCATATCTTCATAGAGAAGGCTCAACGTCGTAGCATTAGATGCTACATCAAGCCTCTCCACATTACGAATATGGTAGTATGATTTCTTTGGTATTACACTATCAGAATTTTATATTTTTTATGACAAAGACATTCTGAAGTCCACATAGAGTACAACGATGACAAGAGTAATGATAGTAAGGAGCTCGATTAACGTCAGTAGCTAAACGAAAAAGTGAAAGAGAAAAAATGACGAAAATCTTGAAGAAGCATGTGACTCTCAACTTAGAGATGTACGATTGTATTGTTATCACAAATCAAACAAATAATTGGAAACACGAACTCTTGTCTAAATAAACTATACGTTGGTCTCTAGTTACTTTGATAGCTAGGCATTTATGACAACAAAGACATTTGAAACCCACAATAGTGCACTATGGAAAAAGCTACGATTGAATATGACGATGACAAGAGTAAAGACGACAAGGAACTCGGCTAATGTCATTGGTTAAACGAAAAAGTGAAGAAGAAAAACGATGAAAATCTTGAGAAAGCATGGGACTCTTAACTTACAGACGTACGACTATATTTTTATCACGGATCAAACAAATCGTTTGAAATACAACCCCTGTCCAAATAAACTACATGTTAGTCCGCGATTACTTTGACCGTGGGAATATAGCTAGACATTTCACATAACAAAAAAAATTTTAATTTTGTGTCTAAAACGTCGTTTAGAGTCTTTTTATCAATATATTAGAGACGTATTTGGCACAAAATTAAAAGTTTACAGTTTCATTAAATGTTTTTAAAATTTAAAGAATTATTATACACCAAATTAAAATTTTAAAAACTTTTTTATACCCTTCTTTTAAATTCAACCACCAAATAAACTAATCCATAAATTAATTAACAAATACTATGTCGTGTTGTATTGCTAATTCAACGCTTAATTGTTCTTCATTTTGACAAGTTCTTTCTTTTTCTTTCTTTTTAGGTACGACTTTGACAAGTTCATATTTCTAGATTATGTCATTCCATTTGTCATTATAAACCCTCTTCTTCTTCTCTATCTTTTCGATTCCTTAGAGCAAAAACCAACATGGCATCGCTCGAGATCGTCGATATCGTTCAAGAAACCTACGAAATCATCCTCACGTGGCAAAAAATTTTCACCCAAATCGCTCTTTCATTGATTCTACCTCTTACCTTCATCTTCTTGGCTCACATAGAGATCTCAAATCTTCTCTTTGGCAACTTCTTCCATTACCTATGGTTGCTACACAAAAACGACCACGATCAAGATCTTCGAAAATTCGATGAATTCTCGGATCTCATCACTCCTAAATGGACCTTCTTTTGGCTCTTCAACATCTCGTACATTGTCTTCCTCTTCGTTTTCTCTCTCCTTTCGACCTCCGCCGTGGTTTATACGGTCGCTTGCATACACACAGGTAAGAGCGAAGAAAGATGTTTACTCTCCAATAAGGTCATGAAGTTTTTGAGATTCTAAATATTTATATGGTTTCTGTCTATTTGGTCTCTAATTTTTTCTCTTGGAAAAATTTCTTACTCCATTTCTAAACGCAGGTCGAGAGATCTCTTTCAGGCAAGTCATTAGCGTCGTGCCCAAGGTTTGGAAGCGACTCGTAGTGACATTTTTTTGTGTTTTTGCTTCCTTCTTCGCATACAATCTCCTCGCGATATTTGCTTTTATTTTACTTCTTTTCATTCTCCTAATACAATACGAGCCATATGGCAATGTCAATGGTTCAATCTTCGTCGTCTTCTTCGCTATCTACTTCATTGGCTTATTATATTTGAGTGTCATAGTGCAACTTTCGAGCGTCGTCTCGGTTTTAGAAGAGTCGTGTGGATTTAAAGCAATGGCGAAGAGCAAGGCACTATTGAAGGGAAAGATGCTAGTAGCCACAATCATGTTGTTGCTCATCAATGCCTCTTTAGTGATCATTCAACAAGCTTTTTTGAAGCTTGTTGTCCATGGAGTTTGGTTTGGGATGGTGGGGAGGGGTATTTTGGGAATAGTGTGTTTGTTCTTGCTTTTGAGTTTCTTCTTATGGCAGCTTGTGTTGGAGACGGTATTGTATTTTGTCTGCAAAGAACACCACCAAGAGAATATCGACAAGTCGGCGCTGTCCAATCATCTTCAAGTTTATTTGTTGAATGGTTATGTTCCTTTGACGGGTAAAAATGTTGAGCTTGAAAACCTTGAAGTTTGATTTGTTCAAACGTTGGATTGGCTTGTTTTGTTGGGATTGTGTTTATATGTTGTGTTTCTCTTTTGTTTGGTACGAGGAATTAAGGAAAAAGGTTGTAATTTTAACATATTTGGTCTATAATAAAACTTTGGTTTATTAATATTTTTGATTCAAGCCCACGTATAATAGTCTGAGTCCACCGCTAGTCGATATTATCTTCTTTGTACTCTTTCGTCTAGGCTTCCCCTCAAGATTTTAAAATGCGTGTCTATTAGAGAGAGGTTTTCAAACTTTTATATGGAATGTTTTGTTTCCTTCTCCAATCGATGTGTCAATGTGGGATCTAACATCACCACTAGTAGATATTGTCGTATTTGAACTTTTTATTTCGAGTTTTTCCTCAAGATTTTTAAAATGTATATGCTTGGGAGAGGTTTTTTCACACCCTTAGAATGTTTCGTTCCTCTCTCCAACTTATGTGTTGATGTGGGATCTTACACCACCGCTAGCAGATATTGTCGTCTTTGAACTTTCCTTTTCAAGCTTTTCCTCAAGATTTGTAAAACGTGTCTGCTTGAGAAAGGCTTCCACACCCTTATAAGGAACGTTTCGTTTCCCTCTCCAACCGATGTGGGATCTCACACTATCGCTAGTAGATATTGTCGTTTTTGAACTTTCCCCTTCGAGCTTTTCCTCGAGACTTTTAAAAAGTGTCTGCTTGAGAAAGATTTTCACACCCTTATAAGGAATGTTTCATTCCCTTCTCCAACCGGTGTGTCGATATGGGATCTCACACCACTAGTAACAGATATTGTCCTTTTTTTACTTTTCCTTCGAGCTTTTCCTCAAGATTTTTGAAACGTGTCTGCTTGGAAGAGGTTTCCACACACTTGAAAGTTTTGTTCTCCTCTCTAACTGATGTGGGATCTCACAATTCATCTCCTTAGAGGCCCAACGTTCTAGCCGGCACTCGTTCCTCTCTCCAATCAACGTGGAATCTCACAATTAACCTATTAAGAAAATCTCAATGAAATCTAGTAAAATGACACTCGATCATATAATCGATCGTATAAAACCTCTATAGTTCATCAAATGCATACACTTGGAGCATCCAATTTACAATCTCCACAAACTTTATTTCCCCACTCCATTTTAGAAACTAAATTAAATAATACAACCCTCTTCATCATTCAAAAACACCAATAATTAACATTGTGAGCTTCTTAGAAGACCATGTTCTTGATCAGAGAGATCCAATATGTCGATACTCTCTTGATGATATGATTTACATACAAAGTAAAACATGGTCTCCAACACGAGCCTCCACAACAAGAAAACCAAAATCAACAACAGTAATGCAAGGCTCGCCGACACATGCACCATCATATTAACCATGGACAGCAAATAAGGCATCTTTCTAACAAGATCATCTAACCATAGAACAATCCCAAAACTCGAATAAATCGCCGACACGACGACAACTGCGGACACCATCTTTCCCTTCAAAAGCAACCTACTCTTAGCCATGGCTTGAAACCCACATGACTCTTCCAACGCAGAAACAACCCCAGCCAATTGGAGAATAACGATCAAATACAACAACCCAATTAAGTAGAGAATCAAGAACATAGCTAAATTTGTTCCATCAGCTTTCCCAAATTGCCAAACAATCAAGAACAAACCAAATCCAGCTATGATATGATATGCCAAGAAAACCAAAACAACACAAAGAAACGTGACTAGAACTCGCTTCCAAACCTTGGCTACGACGCTCATGGTGTCCTTAGCGGACAGTTCTCGGCTGGAGTATAAGGCAGCGACGGTTTGAGACACGCCCGCGGTGGAGAAGATTGAGTAACCAAAGATGAATATGATGCAGAAGACATTGAAGGGCGAAGAGAAGAGATGTGACATGTTCCCATATTCTTGGAGGTCTCTAAGGAGGTCACTTAAGGTCCACATGAAGCCGGAGAGGAGGTAGTTTAGAGGGTGGATGAAGCAAAGAGCCGCCATGGCAAAGATCTTTCTGTTTTTGTTGATGATTTTGAAGGTTTCTTTGAAGATTTCAAAGGCTCCATTGAATTGCATGTCTTTGTGCTTCAGATCCATTGGATTGTGGATTGATCTTCTTGATTCGTGTTCAAGTGAAGAAGAAGAAGAAGATTTGGGGGAAGGAAGTGATGTCTATGTGAGGAATAGATGAAGAGATATAAATAAAGCTGTCGGCGTGTGAAGTTTCAACCACTGAATTGGTCATGGAGTGGGGTACGCTCCATTGTTTGAAAATACTGCTCAAAGGGAAGATTCAACACAAAAAAAAAAGAAAAAAAAAAGACCATTGACCAATCCAAACAAGAAAAGTTGCAGTTCCTGGGAATCTGTGAAATTCTCCAAGAAACCATCAGATTAATCTTCACACCCAGACGTGTGTGTTGTTAGGTTGACGCTCTAACTACTTGAGCTATTCAACTTGTTTGTTGATAGGTTGGCTCTTCCGCAATGATATACGCCGATGGCTTCAACTTGGCTCTGATACCACTTGTTGTTTTTCGATAATCAGCGATAGAAATTCGGTGAGAGGAAATCGTCGACCGGAGGTGGTTGGAAGAAAAATAAAATGCTTAAAATAAAAGAGAGAGAAATTTTGACTGAGGTTCAATATTCTGAATAAATTTCCTATTTAAATATAAACTATCCTAAAAATGTGTGCAGAGTGGCCAACTAAATCTGTGCCACTCCCTACAAAATTGTGTTCTAAAACTTTTGTGATCCATTCGACATGTTTTGTCAAATGATCAAACGGAGGTATTCTGAAATCGTGTGAATCTAAAAAAGGAAAAACTGAAAAACTCAAGTTTTATCTGACCGATTATAGTTAATGATTTAAAAGTTCATAAAATTTTAGGAAGATTCGGTGGTTATTGATTTGAAATTTTAGGAGATAGACGGGAAGATTTGTTACTAGTTGGTTAATTGTAGGGGAAGGTTTTGGAATTTGAAACCGAAGTTAAGAGATTGGTTGTGCAATCTTGTAAGTGAAACTGAAAGAGTGAAAGAGTGAGTGATTGAATGGTCGATGGGAAGATTATAAAGATATTTAGAAAATTTACCTAAAAATCGGCTGAAAATACCAATAACAAATCAAAAACTAAATCAAATCAAAATTAAATTAAATCTAACTACTAACATAGATTTAATTAGATACTAACTGATAGCAATCTAAACAAATACGTGATTTTTAACACTCCTCCTTGTTTAGATACTCTGAACTCCAGGCTTTTTTCTGAACACCCATCAGGTGCATCATCAACCAAAGCATCGTGTTGTTCATCTTTAGACTCTTCTAACATGCTACCAAAGATTAAATTGCAGTTATTCTCAATTCCATTGCTCATTTCCAGCAAAATGAACATTGCGGCTCACAATAACACAACTAATGTGTGGTTGAAAAACTCTGTAAGCTTTTGATATAATGCTATACCCAACAAAAATGTCAGCTTCTGCTTTTTTGTCAAGCTTATCACGCTTGACTTATGGAATGTAAGTGAAGCAAAGACACCCAAATACTCTAAGAAACTTTAAAGAAGGCTTGTACCCATACCAAACTTCAAATGGTGTCAAGTCCTTTACATCTTTTGTTGAAATTCAATTTTGCAAGCACACAATAGTGTTTGCTACTTTTCCCCAAAAACGTTTTGGAAGATCCTTCTCATTAAGCATGCATCTTGTCATCTCCATTATGAATCTATTCCTCCTTTCACTGGCGTCATTCGGTTGAGGAGTGCATGGTGCTATCAATTGATGTTCAATTCCAACCTCTTCACAAAACCTGTTAAAAGTTTCTGAAGTGTACTCCTTGTCATTATCTGATCATATAGTCTGAATCAAGCATGCACCTCCATTCTCAACTCTGGCTTTGAATTTCCAAAATACACCCGCAACTTCTGACTTTTGCTTCAGCAAGAAGATCCAACACATTCTTGTTAGTTCCTCAATAAAAACGATGTAATAAAGATTACCATTTAATGATGGTGGTCGCTGAGGACAACAAAGATTAGTATGAATCAGCTGCAGCTTTTTTGAGGCTCTCCAAGCCTGTTTAGGAAAGGGTTGCCTATTGCTTCCCAAAATTACAAGCATGGCAAGGAGGCATGTCATCATCAATGTCAGTGAGTTCTTTTATCAAATTCTTTGACTGCATCTGAAGCAAATCTCGATGGTGAAAGTGCCCAAGTCTTTTGTGCCAAATCTCAGTGGCACTAGCTCTGAATATAAAGGTCGTCGAATTTAGAGCATAACTTTTTCCTTTGATTTTGACATTGAACAAGTCTTTGTCACTAGCATCTCTAATCAAGCACCGCTTATTCTCAAACAACACTTTATAGCCTTTATTAAGTAACTGACCAACGCTTAAAAGATTTTGATCAATTTTAGGCACAAATAAAACATCTGGAATAAATTTTGTACCTTCATAGCTTGTTATAGCTACTGTGCCTTTTCCCTGGACTTCCAAGTGTTCACCATTGTCAATCCTCACTCTCTTGACTTCAGTGTCTTTTAATTTCTCAAAAAACTCCTTGCCATATGTCATATGATTTGTGCATCCACTGTCAATCCACCAGCTCTCGCTTGATTCTTTGCTTGAGGAAGAAGTGACCATAAACAATTGATCTTCTTCTTCTTGATCAACTACCTGTGCATCTACTTCTTTCGTCTGCTCTTTGGCTTTGCAGATCACAACTTCATGTCCAAGTTGATTGCATTTGGAGCCGAAGGTGTCAGGTCTTCTCCAACACTTGTATGGTGGATGACCTTTCTTCTCACAATGACGGCAAGGTGGATAGAATTTTTTGGAACCTCCTTCTTTTGTCTTCTGATAATTGGCAAATGAATCTCCATATATCAATTGGTTTTTTAAAATTTTCTTGTTTTTATACATGCTATTGTCTTGATGCTTGACATGTAAGGCACCTTCAATCACCCCTTCTTGTCTAATAGACCTCCTTTGCTTTTGTGCTTGTAAAGCATTCAAGTGCTCTGTAAGAGAAATCTTTGACAAGTCTTTGGTGTTATCCAGAGTAGTAACGGTGGCTTCAAACTTCTCTGGAACAGTGACTAACAGTTTTTCAACGATTCTAAAATCATTTAATACAGAACCAAGCAATCTCACCTTGTTCGCAATGCTGAGAAGTTTGTCAGAGTACTCTTTCACCGATTCAGACTCCTTCATCTTCTGTAACTCGAAATCCCTAATCAAATCAGGACTTTCATTCCATGAATCCTCTCATCTCCTTCATATTTAGCTTTGAAATAATCCCTGATTTCCTTTGCTGTTTTGAGGGACATTATTTGCATGAAAATCATTTGAGATACCGCAGCAAATAGGCAAGCTTTTGCCTTTGATTTCCTTGTCTTCTTTTCTTTCTGTATTTTGATTTGTGCTATAGTAGGATTTGCTGGAAGCGGAGGGACCTCGCAATCCTCTTCTATTGCTTCCCAAAGATCCAAAGCCTCCAGATAAGTCTCCATACGAACTGCCCACATTTGATAATTGTCTCCATCGAAGACTGGTGGTGTAACAGCTGAAAATTTTGATTTGCCTCCCATTTTGATCTCACAGATCTCTTCAGAAAATAGCTCTGATACCAATTGTTAGTGAAAGAGGGAGTGATTAAATGGTTGATGAGAAGATTATATTAGGAAAAGCAAGAATGCTCTATATATACAGAGAATATAAAAAGATATTTAGAAAATCTACCTAAAAATTTGTAGAAAATCCGGTAACAAACGAGTGAACAAATCAAAAACTAAATCAAATTATAACTAAATCAAATCAAAACTAAATCTAACTCGGTAGATTTAATTAGATAATAACCGACAGCAATCTAAACAAATACGTGATCTTTAACAAATCCCCACTATAAATACTCATCAGATTTATGTTATTTCTACAACGAAAACAACACAAAATAATTAATAAAGCCCAACTGCTTATGTTCCTCTACTAAAAAACTCTCTCCCTTCGAGTTGTTCTTCAACTATAGTTATTTGTTTCAACATATTTCGAACATGGGCAATTTCCAACACTCTCTACCTCTGTCGCTGCCTGCATTTACACCGATCACGACATCTCTTTCTGATAGGTGATCGTCGTCATCCCCAAAGTTTGTAAGCAATTTGTCGTCACCTTCCTATGCTCTTGTATTGTAACAAAGCGGAAGCAGTATCGATTCTACTCACACGCACACGAACATAAATTAAACAAAGAGACAAAGATTTACGTGGTTAAGAGATAAGAAATTTTCCTGCATCCACGGGTAGCAACTAATCTCAATAATCAAAAAGCGTATATCTAGATGCCGCCACCTAAATTTATGTCGATCACGACGTCTCTTTCCGACAAGTAATCACTGTCGCGCCCAAGGTTTCTAAGCGACATATCGTCACCTTCCTCCATCTGCTCTTGTGTCGTAACAAAAAGCGGAAGCAATATTGATTGTACTCAGACACCCACGAACAGAAATTAAATAAAGAGACAAAACTTTACATGATTAAGAGAGAATAAATTTTCCTACATCAACAAGTAGTAACCAATCTCAATAATCAAAGTATTTACAAAGTGTATATCTCGACGTTGTCGCTCCCAAATTTTGTAAGCAAACCTTCCTCTCTCTGCTCACTCGTAGACTTCTTAACCTTCAGTGTTTTTTGTGTTGTAACAGAAGCAGAAGCAATATCGATTGTAGTTACACACCCACGAACAAAAATTAAACAAAGAGACAGATTTACGTGTTAAGAGATAAGAAATTCTCTTAAATCATCCACTTGTTTGCTACCAATCTCAATAATCAAAATATTTACAAAATGTATATCTCACGCTCTCAAATTATAAAGTCTCTCAACAAAATTTCTCCCAAATTATGTCAAGTCAAATATAAAATGAAAATTAATACTCTCAACCATCCTAAACAACCGTTTATATAATAATTTAATCAAAATAGTTATTTAGAGTTAATAATCAAAATAAATGAAAATAAACAATAAACGAGTATACTTACTAAGAGCTCCTCACTTATTTGCCTGTTCCAACCTGTTTCTCGTTATCAATAAATATCATTTATTTCTATATTCAATAATCAACTTTGACTTTTATAGTTTAAGGGCCCATATATTTTCGTTTCTTCATCTCAACAATTTTTCTATTACAAACAAAGTAGTGACATAATTGTTAAGTACCGAATCATTTAGTTAAAATGATATTATGGACTTAAATGTTAGTAGTAAATGCTTGAAAAGAAACACCGAAAATAAATAACATGAAATTTAAATAAAACAAAAGAAAAGAATAAAACAACGACATGATCTAACCTAAATGATACAAAACTAGATAAAAATGTGACTGCCCTAACACTGGTTCTATAACTTTCATCGTGACGTTGATATCCATATAGAGGTGTCTTACCTTTACCTGAAAAATAAGAGTAGCACGGTCGTAAGTAACCTCACTGTTTGGATCGGGAAATGCAAGCAAATGCAATATGGGGGACCTATAGATTTAAAACATCAAGGCATAACCTTATGCAACTTTCCCGTTAATGTTGGATGTGTAGTACTTTTTTACACATAGTCCACACATGTGAATATGGGCCCGCCAAGCAGACTTGCGTACCCCTTGAGTCTGGCTCGTCGAGCTAGCACTCACTAACAAGCTGAATATTCACCTCATATTCATCATCTTTTTACACATTGTCCAAGCATGTGAACATGGCCCCATGAAGCAGGCTCGCATACCCCCTTGGTCTAGCTCATCAAGCTAGCACTTGCTAACAAGCTGAATATGCTCCTCAAAGTCCAATTTCACCTCAAATTCATCATCTTGATGACATCAATTAAAACAAAACAGCTACAAAGATTAACCACCTTTCCGTCCAATTATTGAGTATAAAAAAATATCTCGATATATCTGTTTTATCTCTCGTTATTTTTTTTTTTTTTAGAATTGCAAAGAAACTTCATATCAATTGCCCAAATCAAGTATTAAAAAAATATCGTTCATATATCTATTAAATATGTAATCTAAACTATATAGAATTGCAAATAAATTTAGTCATTGGCTAAAAAATGATGAATATTTTTTTGACTATATTCTTTCAAGTCTCGTTTCCAAAGATAACATACATGATTTTGTATAACCTCGAAATGAAACTCTTAATATTCCACTAGGCATTTCAAGAGTTTGTAACATTCATACTTTGTGACCATAATTAGTCTACACGCAGATGTAACGAAAGAATATATAAATAAATCTTAAAACTTAAAATACATGGATGAAACATCATAAATCTAAATTTTAAGCATCTAGTATAAATTTGTAACCATCTAAGAATAAATGAAATCTCATTTAAAGTACTTTGAAGCTCTTGCTTCGTAAATGAAACTTGATTCTTCTTTAACCTGAAATGGATTACAACTTGGTTGAACTTGACTTTATCTGTGATAATTTGAACAACATTCTTCCCAACTTCCTTCAATTGAGATACCTTGATTCATATCACTCTTCATCTTTGAGGTGCGCCAATAATTAACATTCTGAGCTTCTTAATGGAACAAATTGTTTATCTGAGAGAGTCAACACGTTGATACTCTCCTGATGATATGATTTACATACAAAGTAGAACATCGTCTCTAATACGAGCCTCCACAACAAGAAAACCAAAATCAACAATAGTAACGAAAGGTTCGCCGACACATACATCCATATAACCAAAGACGGCGAAAAAAGCATCATTTTAACATGATACTTTAACCATAGGAGAATCCCAAAACTCGAATAAATCGCGGACACGACGACAACCGCGGACACCATCTTTCCCTTCAAAAGCAACCTACTCTTAGCCATGGCTTGAAACCCACATGACTCTTCCAACGCAGAAACAACGCCAGCCAATTGGAGAATAACGATCAAATACAACAACCCAATTAAGTAGAGAATCAAGAACATAGCTAAATTTGTTCCATCAGCTTTCCCAAATTGCCAAACAATCAAGAACAAACCAAATCCAGCTATGATATGATATGCCAAGAAAACCAAAACAACACAAAGAAACGTGACTAGAACTCGCTTCCAAACCTTGGCTACGACGCTCATGGTGTCCTTAGCGGACAGTTCTCGGCTGGAGTATAAGGCAGCGACGGTTTGAGACACGCCCGCGGTGGAGAAGATTGAGTAACCAAAAATGAATATGATGTAGAAGACTTGGAAGGGCCAAAAGAGAGACCAATTGTGAGAGAAGAGATGTGACATGTTCCCATATTCATGGAGGTTTCTAAGGAGATCATTTAAGGTCTCCATGAAGCCTGAGAGCATGTAGTTTAGAGGGTGGATGAAGCAAAGAGCCGCCATGGCAAAGATCTTTCTGTTTTTGTTGATGATTTTGAAGGTTTCTTTGAAGATTTCAAAGGCTCCATGGAATTGCATGTCTTTTTGACTCAGATCCATTGGATTTGTGTTCAAGTGAAGAAGGAGAAGAAGAAGATAAGGTAAAGTGATGTCTTTGTGAAGAACAGATGAAGAGATATAAATAGAGTTGTTGGCGTGTGAAGTTTCAACCATTGAATTGGTCATAGAGTGGGGTAGGCTTCATTGATTGAATCTACTGCTCAAGAGGGAAGATTCGACCATTCACTCATTTAGAAATTTCAAACCTTTTTACGCGAAAATATTTATAATAAAATTAACGTGTTTCACCTAACGTTTATAAATCAACTAATACAAATGAAAATGAAAAGAAAATAATGTAAAGTAAGATGTTCTATATGCTACTTAATGAAAATGCAACTAATCTATACTATACTATAGTCTACTAAATTTAAATTACGAAACTATCCTAAGCATGTACTACAGTCTTATAGTTGCGATGTCATCGTCATCCATCAGGATAGTCTTGCCTTTACTTGAAAAGTAGAGTATCACATGGCTGGAGTATTTTAATAAATACTCAGTAAGTGGCCATCATATCGGGCTTAAATGTAAACACATACAATTTCATGGGTGGAACCTATCATAATAGTCTATCTTTCTATGGTGGCTATCCTAACAGACAACTTAGATGTGTACTTAATTTTTCTTCACACGGTCCACACGTGCGAATATGGACCCACTAGTCGGTTTGTTCATCTCCTTGACCCCTTTCTGGTCGGGCGAGCATTCTCTGGTAGCTGTTGATGTCGGACACCCCTTAGGAATTATGATAAACATAATGATCGTTCCCCTATCTCGTAGCATACACGTCCGTACTATCGTGAAGGAATATGGGTATCCTCCGATGTATGAGCACACAATAATGCATAAGGTCCCGACATTTTTTTCTTTTTCATTAACGTTAAATACAACCCCACTAGCGTATACGTATCATTTTTTATATCGTTTCTCATAACGTTTATCATATAATTTATCGTAACTTTCATGTGTATGTTGGGATTGTATTTTATGCTAGTTCATCGTGTTGCATGTCAATCATATCGTATCATTCCTATCGCACATATATCATATCATAACGTTTTTATGCTTTCAGGCATAACAATCCATATCATGCACATGACGTATCATATATCATAACAGTCACATGACATATATCGAGCATGTCTTAAGCATATCATATCATAAACATAACAATTCATTTAATCAAACATAACAATCATATCTCATAACATATACATATCATTTCATAATGGTTTGCATAAATGGGCATATGACATGTGCGAAGCTACTGGGACGTGTCATCGTATAGCACACAATTATAACCAAACAATAGTAAGGCAACTTACTTGGTTGGCCTTAGCTGGCGTTCTCCCTAATTTGAGTACGTTTGCTCCCATTCCTCAAAATTGCTCCAAATTATGGCTGGTTGTCCTTTTCTATTAGAATATTTATCCTATTTCCTTAGTAATCTAATAATTCCTAACTCAATTGAACTTAAATTGAGAAATTTACCTTTAAACAGACCTTATTTCCCTTAAACAATGTTAAATTTAGATTCGGGATGATTGGAACAATGGAAAATGACTGTTTTTCCCTTCACATAGCCGAACGAGCGACTTTTGAGCCGTAGAGCCGATCTGAGTCGTTTAAGCCGACTAAGCCAAGGAAGGTGTCGCGTTGCAGGTGTGCCACGTGGCACAATTAGAGGCGGACGAGTGTGCATGCAGCTTCGGGTCGAAGCGCGAGTCGCGTGTGGGTACGTGGGTCACGGACTACAGGCATTCGATTGGGTCGAGGCATGCTGTTGAGCTCGGTTGCTACTCATGTGTCCAATCTTAAAATTATTGAGAATACTAGTACCACATTTCGCTAATTAAGAAAAAGATTCTAAGTTTATAAGGTAAATTAAAGCGAGGCTATTGAAGGGCTCCAAAAACCTTACAAAAAGGTCTATAGTGTACTTTGTTCACGGGGTTGTTCGAGAGCTTCCCCGACCTTCGAGTATAAAAAAAAAATTGTTGATTTTGTAATAATGATTATGTTTGAACAAATGGTGATCGGTTTCGAAGCCATTGCTAGAAGTAAGGCGCTGATTGAAGGGAAAATGGTGATCGGTTTGATTCTTCTGGCTTTAATCGGTTCGCCTTTTGGATTGATTCTGTTTGTGATTCGTTATTGCGTTGAATCTGCGTTGGTGCGTGAGGGGATTGTTTGGATGTGTTAGTTTGTTAGGTTCATGTTGATTGAGTTAGTCGAATGCGAATCTCCACAATGGTATAATATTGTCCACTTTGAACATAAGCTCTCATAAATTTGCTTTGTGCTTCCGAAAAAGCCTCGTACCAATGAAAAGTGTATTCTTAAATTATAAACCATGACCATTGCCTAAATTAACCAATGTGGACACTTTCATCTAACAGATTTGAACTGTGTTGTATTTGGCTTGTAAATCGTATCACTGCGAGATAATCGATGAATCAGCTCTTTGTGATTGTCTTCGAGGTTATTTGCCGGTGGAGTTGAAGGTTGAAGACAAGGTTCAACGGGACAAGATACCATGTAAGAAATGGCTAACGGTAAGGCAAGTCAAAATGTTGTTCTTATCGAATGGTCGGGTGGTTTGGTTTGGTTTGGTCTAGTCTAGTCTAGTCCGATTTGGTTTTTAGATTCAGTTGTTGTAGTACGTGCATAAACTACAAGAGTTTGTTCTATGATTGAGAGATATGATGACTACAAAAAACGTTCTGAAGGACAAGATACCGTATACGAAATGGGGTAGCTATAAAATAAGTCAAAATTGTTGTTCGTTGGGTTTGGTTTGATCGGGTTTGGTTTTTAGATTCAGTTGTCGTAGTACATATATATAACACGAGAGTTTATGGCGAAAGAGATATGATGACTACGAAAAACCTTCCACGAGATAAGATACCGTGTAAGAAATGGGTCACTATCAAATAAGTCAAAATGTTGTTCTTATCATTTAAGAATGGTCAGGTGGGTCCGATTTGATTGTCTGGTCTTATCTAGTTTTTAGATTTAGTTGTCGTAGCACAGGTATAAATCATGAGAGTTTATTCAGTGGCTAAGAGATATGATGATTATGAAAAATCTTCCGAGAGACAAGATACTGTGTACAAACTCGGATAACTATAAAATAAGTTAAAATGTTGTTTTTGTCCTTCAAGAATGGTTGGGTGGATCCAGTTTGGTTGTCTAGTCTGATTTAGATTTTAAATTCATATGTAGTAGTACATGTATAAATAATGAAAGTTTATTCCGTGACTAACGGATATGATGACTATGAAAAACCTTCAGCGAGACAAGATACCATGTACGAAATAGAATAACTCTAAAATAAGTCAAAATGTTGTTTTTATCATTCAAGAATGGTCAGGTGGGTCCGGTTTGGCTTGTCTAGTCCGATTTGGTTTTTAGATTCAATTGTAGTAGTACATGTATAAACGATGAGAGTTTATTTCGTGACTAAAAGATAGGTTGTTTTTTACCTGTAACTTTTCTGCTAAAATCTCTAAATACAAGACTTTGATGAGAAAAGTTACGTTTCACATGCACGTGATTACTATGCATTTCAAATGGTACCTCGTGTAATATTTGAATGTTACGGTAAAATATATGGATTTGTAACTTGCATCTCAGATGTTTTTTTTTTAAAATAACGTCAGCATCATTCGATAATGAACTCAGTCGATCTAAAGTTTCTAAAAGTCAAGCTATTACATAGATATAATGAAAAAAATAATTATTTTTTATTTCCATCCTAAAGTATAACATAATTTTACAGATTAACGTCACAACTAGTTGAAATTAAGCATGAAAAATGACCCCAAAAAAATTAAAAATAAGTCTTGAAATAAAAAATAATTTAATATATTGTTTTAATTTTAATATAATTTTAATACGAAATTAAAAGAGAAAAAATATTTTGAAATTTTGATTCAATATTTAATTGCAATATTACTTAAATAAATATTTTCATGAGAGAAAAAAAAACTATTAAAAAAATGCAGGCTAAATATGTAAATTTGTTGAATATTTATAAGTTATAAAAATATATATATATTGGAAAAATAAATAAATAAATAAATAAAAAAACCGGAAGACTGATTCCACGATAGACATAAGAACACGCTTTAAAAAAAGACTTGTAAGAGCTTCCTCTCTTATCCGTCTTCAAACATGTTTCTCATTCTCAATAAATATAATCACCGCCTTACTTTGACTTTTATAGTTTACGTGTCATGAACTTTTAAAAATATAAATTTATGATGACTCTGAAGTCTCCATGTATTTTTATGGAGATTGGAGCGGAAATTTCAAACCGATACTTTACAAAGATCGACTTCCCTACCGATATTCATTTCTGAGTAATTTTTATTTTCCAACAAAACTTCTAAAAGCTTAATTTCAATATTGTAATTTTATTTCTCCATTCTGGATCGGAAAATAGAAGAGTTACGTGAATCAAAAATACAAGGGAGGTTCATGGCCAAGGATAAAGATGTCCGAGTAACAGTTATTTTGGAATGTACTCATTGTGTTCAAAACCGTGTTAATAAGGAATTTGTGGGGATTTTCAGATATATTACTCAAAAGAATCAACACAACACGTCTAATCGATTGAAATTGAGAAAATTTTGTCCATGTTGTTACCATAGTATTCTACCCTTTATATATATATACACTCTAAGTAAAGAATCTATATAAGAAGGGCGGTATAGCAAAAATTTGGGCAAGGTGGGAGACGGAGTTGACGATGAGGAATAAAATTCTCTACCCGATCCCATTTGGCCAATGAAAAAAAAAAAACGTCTTCTCAGTCCCTTTCTATATTAGGCATAAAATTGATAGTTTAGAGATCTGAATGTCAAATCACACATCGAGAGAGGAACGAAACATTCTTGTAAGGATGTAGAAACTTCTCCCTAGTAGACGCGTTTTAAAACCACGAGACTGACAATGATACGTAACGGGCCAAAGTGGATGGGGTTGACAACGAGGAATAAAATCTTCTCTACTCGATCCCATTTGGCCATCAAGAGGGGAATGAAACATTCTTATAAGAGTGTGGAAACCTCTCCATAGTAGATGCATTTTAAAACTATAACGATACGTAATAGGTCAAAACAGACAATATCTGCTAACAATAGGGTTTGACCATTCCATACAAACTTATAATTCGATATCAATATTCATATTCAAACCAATCTACTAATATTATAATCTATGCATCATTTTTTTCTCAAATCAAATGATTGTTTAACATTCCCATCAATGATGAACTTAGAACATTCAACCATCACTTCATCCTTCATTTCTTATATATCTTCCTCCATTTTCTTTCTTCTCTTCACCTCCAAAAGCCATGGATTCAAACCTCCAAAAGCTTCAATCGTTAGGAGTCTTTGGAATCATCAAAGAAACCATCAAATTGATATACCAATGGAGAAAAATCTTCACC